TTAGAAAGAAGAAAATAAATGAAACTGATGTTTACAGAGAAGGATAAAAAGTAGCGATCGTACAGTGGAGGGAAGAATGTAGAAGAATAATAATGATAGAGGGAGGAAAGATAGAGGGACTGATAGAGGGAGGAATAATATAGGGAAAGATAGAGGAATGATAGAGTGGGTAATGATAGAGGGAGGAATATTACTGATAGAAGAAGAAATGATAGAGGGAATGATAGAAGGAGGAAAGATGGAGGGAGGAATAATACTTATAGAGGGGGAATGACAGAGGGAATGATAGAGGAGCGATAGAGGTAGGAATGATAGAAAGAGGTACGATAGAGGGAGGAATAATACTGATACAAGGGTATATGATAGAGTGAGGAATGATAGAGGTAATGATAGAGGAAGTAACGATGGTGGAAATATATTGATAGAGGATATGAAGGATAGAATAATGTCAGAGGGAGGAATGATAGAGGGAATGATAGTGGGATGATAGATGGGTAATGATACTGGAAGGAGTACTGATAGCGAGAGGAATAATACTGATAGTGGGAGAAATGCTAGAAGGAATGATAAAAGGAGGAATGACAGAGAGGCAATAATACCGATAGAGGGAAAAATGATAGAATATTAGAGTAAGGAATGATAAAAGGAATGATAGAGGGAGGAACGATGGAGGAATAATGCTGGTAGATGGAAAATGATAGAGGGATGAATAATACTGATAGAGGGAGGAATGATAGAGAGAAAGATAAAGTAATGATAGAGGGAGGAATGATAGAGAGAATGATGGGGGAAATGATACAGAGAGGAATGATAAAGGAATAATAGAGAGAGGAATGATAGTTGGAGGAATATTATTGATAGAGGAAGGAATGATAAAGGGAATTTTAGTGAAATGATAGAGGGAGATATAATACTGATAGAGGGAGGAATGATAGATGGAGGAATGATACAGTTAGATGGAGGAATGGCAAAGGGAATGCTAGAGGAATGATGTAATAAGGAACGATAGATGGAGGAATAATACTATTAGAGGGAGGAATGATAGATGGAGGAATAATACTGATAGAGGGAGGAATGATAAAAGGAATGATGGAGGAATGATACAGGGAGGAACGAATGAAGAACAACGGATGAGGACACGATGTCCGAAAATTGGGACAGAAAATGCCTGTGAAGGTCAACTTTTGTGAGAAGACAGCCCTCGAAGGACGCCATGGAAGTAAGGATGAAACGACCTCCCCGTCCTCGGGGAAAGTGACCGGCAAACTGTAATGGCTTTTGTTTGAGTATAAATTTCATCTTTAACTTGTTAAATATTACTCTCCGGTCTTTTGATTCGGATCAGGCGTGTCTTGTCATCGTTACAGCCAGAAAAGATTATTTTGGCTTTCCCTGATTTCTTTACAGCACAGGTTGCTACGACTGGTCGATTATTGCCTTTGTCCACATATACTCGTGTTATGTCCCACATTAAACTGGACTTGAATCTGAATTTGCAATCTTCTTCTTCTTCATCTTTTATGTATCGTCTCCCTTCAGGACGTTGCCGATCATAGCTCTCCACAATTTCCTGTCGTTTGTAGCTCTTAATAAATATTCGTTTTTTCCCCCTTAAAACCTGTTCTGCCATCCATTTACTCAAGCTTGTTAGGTAGGTTATGCATTGTTTTCTTCTGTCCCTCTTGCCTTCAGTCGGTCCTGTGGGTATCAAATTTTCCTAGCCCTTCTTTCCTCATTATGTTCCCTAGAAATTTCAACTATCTCTTTTTGATGTTAAGTATAAGTGTCCGTGTTGTTTCCATTTTCTCTAGAACTTCGTCGTGGCTCACAGGTTCGGCCCATTCTGTTCTCAGCATGCTTCTGTAGAACCATATTTCTAGTTTGCTAAACATCACTCTAACAAAAATTTACTGAACTCAGTTCATAAGGTTACGCAAGCGAGTCGTATCCCCCACCCACAAATGGTATTCATCTCTCTACGGTAGGCACTAGGAAAGAAGTAACGAATACTAATTATAAAGTAATATTCGAATTTTCTTAGGAGGTGAAATATTACCAAATATTATTTTTGAATAGCACATCTTTTCTTTTATTTTTCTTTATTTGTTTATTTGTTGTTTATTGAAAACTCTCGGGTCGTCATTCTACAATCTTTAACTCAGCAGTACCAATCGCAAATGAAAAATAAGCCCCCAGCCAGATAAAAATTTCACCCTTTATACTTGATATCCTGAGTTTTCTTGGCAGATAATTTACTGATTCGGCTACGGAGACCAAACAGCAGTAGAGTTCAGAATGAGGTTAAACGACGAAAGCGATGTGGAAACATTCGTGAAAATTTAACCATATAGCTATATTTCTTACTCTCCAAATACCATATAACAGTATATTTATTTAGGATTTAAATTCCACCTTCCTTGTTCGAAATAAATAATTAAATCTTGGTGAACGATGATCTGTCCACACAGCACCTTTTCGTTGCCATAAGAGAAAAGCTACTGCATAAAGCTATATTGTCTGAAAGAAAAGCGCATTTTCCAATCGTGCGCCATGTCAGATCTCTATTATTAAAAATCTTGTTCTGTGAGGGGTTTTATGCAAACGTCTTAGAGATAGTATTCCTAATAAGAGCAAAAGCATTTGAAATGTGCATTTGTTGAATCATATCTATGGGAAAAGAAGCACAGAAATATGAGTGGTCAATAAAGCGTAATATATAACCCGTAAATGCTCATTGTAAAGTCCGGTATTATTCTGTTTATAAAAATCAAAATGCGATCAACTGTCCGTCCACCGGTGGGATAGGGACTGTAGCATCGATGCCCACTGGTGGGATAGGGACTGTAGCATAGATGCCCACCAGTGGGATAGGGACTGTAGCATAGATGCCCACCAGTGGGATAGGGACTATAGCATCGATGACCACCGGTGGGATAGGGACTATAGCATCGATGACCACTGGTGGGATAGGGACTATAGCATCGATGACCACCGGTGGGATAGGGACTATAGCATCGATGCCCACCGGTGGGATAGGGTCTATAGCATCGATGACCACCGGTGGGATAGGGATTATAGCATCGATGACCACCAGTTGGATAAGGACTATAGCATCGATGACCACCGGTGGGATAGGGACTGTAGCATCGATGCCCACTGGTGGGATAGGGACTATAGCATCGATGTCCACCAGTGGGATAGGGACTGTAGCATAGATGCCCACCAGTGGGATAGGGACTATAGCATCGATGCCCACCGGTGGGATATGGACTATAGCATCGATGCCCACCGGTGGGATAGGGTCTGTAGCATCGATGGCTTCCCAGGGATCTTCCTCTTAGAAACCTATAATTAATATCAAACGTTTATTAACCTATAATTAATTCCGTTATTTTTTTAACCTATTTATAGAAAAGATACTGGGAAGCTTTGTTAGGGCTGTGGGAAAGGTTCTAGGACAGTTACGTATTGGATATTTGTGTCCCGGCTAATTGCGTCTCGGACAATTGCGTACTAGACAATTACGTCCCTGGATAATTGCGGACATCTGAGAATTTTTTGAAGTTACTATTTTAAAAAAAAAAAATGTTAATATAGAATTTTGCACACCAGTAGCTTTAATTACTCTAAATAAGCAGAAAATTATTTAACATAAATAAAAAGAGAGAAAAATTTATTTTTTAAAGCAAGAGAAAATTAAGCTAGCATTTTCCGTTCACTCCAGCAGTGCGTGTCACAAACATGTAATTGATTCTGGATTTTATAGATTATATTTTTATTTGGAACCAATGTCTAAATTCCTAAAATCAAACACTTGTGGAAAAATATTTGTAGACGAGAAAAATTGCAGCGAGCACTATCATAAGAAAAAAACGTCGATGAAAGAAAAATATACTGGCAGTTTGTAGAGCGAGCTTGCAACACTTTTAATCTGTCATTGCATTTTAAACAACAATAAACTTTTAATTTTTTAAAATTTTATTCCTTTTTTAAAAATTTATTGTAATTGCCTTTAAAAGCTTCAAAAAATTATGAGAGGTATGCAATTATGCAGGGAAGCATTTGTCTAAAGACGCAAATGTCTAGGGACGCAATTGGCCTGGACACAAATATCCAATACGCAATTGTCTTAGAACCTTTCCCATCACCCTAACGAAGACTCCCTGTATATTTTCTATAAATATTTTCATGGTAAATGTTCTGATGAACTTTCATTTTTGGTACCCCGATTTAAGAATTTAAGCGCAGTACTAGATTGCCGGCTAGGTCTCATCATTTTACATTTGAAATTGCAAGATACAACTGAATATTTTATTCTTATAGTTTCTTTTCTCGTATATCTTCACCTGTAGAAACCTTCCACGACTTGTTGCTTTCTTGTCAACTACAATTTTAAAAAAAATTAAATGCAATGTCAATCGGCAACTGTCTCGTTTGAACCTGGTTGTTTATTGGCCTTCTCTCTCTCTTTTTTTTTAATTTTAGAAGAGGGGGTCCAGTTCATAATATAAATACAGTGTTAAATCGGACTCTGACTTCTTAAAGAGTTGTCGTCATTGATAACTGAGTGTTATTTGCTTTTGATGATCGATTTATCAGAAAGGTGACTTCTTTTTTGTTATCAGCCTGGAGAGACGATTCCAAAGCTCGAAACATCTTGAAAGTGCATGAAAACTATACCAAGGGTTGACCCAAGACTTGTGAGTGAAATTGGAGAGGTCGAACCATTTGGAAACCGTCGATAGTTGTGAGAGCACGAAGTCAGAAGTCATCGTGACCGAGGGCTTGATCGTATCGGCTTTGTCCAGGATAGCAATCTAGATTCTCGAGGATCAAAGTTGACTAGAAAGCTAGAAGCCGGAAGAGAGTTCCACAAGCGCGAAGTTAGAGGAGAAGAAACTCTTAAAATAAGACTTTCGTTTGTCTCTAGCAATTTCGACAGTAAAATAAGATTTCTCTGCCAATCTAATACTGCGCTTAAATTCATAACTACGTCCCGCTCAGTATAAACTGCAGATGGGCTCTGTGGGTGTTGAACAGACACAAATGTGTCTGGGCTGGTGTCTGCAACAGGGATTGGCTAGCCTTTCTAGCAGTCAGGCATACTAGGATACAAGTGGCCAGCCAATATTACGATTTGGGAATAATTACAAAATCAGTAGTGCGCAGTTATCAATGGCATAAGCACATTTTCCCTTTCTCCAATACAAAAGTATTGGGATCGATTTGACACTGTATTTAAATGATGATGAAGATGTCCCTTCTAAAATGATAATACATCAATATGACAAATGAGGGTAAATGAAATTTTAATGAATGTTAATCTTAAAAAAAAATATCGCCCCGTAATGATCTCTAAGTGATGCTAATTCATCATAGGTAGAAAACCTTGCCTTTCTTTTATTGCTGAAATCTGTGTGATACTAAGATTAGTCTTTACTTATTCACTACAGCGAGGCAAGTAGGACTTCTGATCCTAAATACAATACACATGAAAATTTGAGTACTTCAAAACCAAGACAAAACCACTCCCCGAACCTCATTATCGGTTACGCAGTTTAATCCTCAAAATAATTTTGGACTGACACATTCAAGTAAGTTAAACAAAAAAACAAAGAATGCGTAATACAAACAAATGATCATAAGACTAAACACATTTATGTACTGTGTCGTATATCACAATATGAGTGCATGTTGTGGAGTGATTTCACAGTGGAGGATTGTATTTGTACTGAGTCAGTCATTAAATGGGTTCGACGTACAAAACGTTAGGAACTTGGTATTACGCAGAGCAATCTGGTCGTGGTTGCTGATACTTTCGTATTCGACTAAGTGTCGTTCGACATCGACTCACTGACTGACTGACCGACTGACGATATTTAGTCACCCTCGCCCACGAGGGTATCATGTGGCACAAGGCCGGTTTAACGTGGGATCTCCGAGCCCGTGGGCTTGGCCAAAAATATACCCTTTGAAACCGTATATACGGATTCAGGGTCGGTTTACCTCCCGAACGAGACTCCGCACTTCGGCGTAGCCCCGTTCGGGTTCCTCCCCGCCCGAAGGCAGAGAGTTCAACCGTTCAGCCGGTCGTCCGACATCGACTGACCGACTGACGATATTTAGTCAACCCCCCACGAGGGCATGATGTGGCACAAGGCCGGTTATTTAATGTGGGATCTCCGAGCCCGTGGTCTCAGCCCAAAAATATGCCCATTGAACCCGTATAAACGGGTTCAGGGTCGGTTTACCTCCCCGAAAGAGAATCCGACCTTCGGCGTAGCCTCCGACCTTCGGCGTAGCCTCCGACCTTCGGCGTAGCCTCCGACGGGTTCCTCCCCGCCCGTAGTCAGAGAGTTCAACCGACAGACTCGTTACTCTTACTACTCGTACTTATTATAGGTGGGAGAGTCTATTAACTATAGAATAGGTGTGTGCAGGAGGTGAAAATTATTACAGTGGGCTCTTTAT